GTCCCTACACCTATGGTTATTCTAGAAATAGCTGTCTCTGGCCTCTCTGGCTATCTCAGTGAGCAGGGTATTTAGAAGTAGGAGCATATGTGTTACCTCCACACATAATCAACAGCATTTGCAAGAAATATGTTAAAGGATTTTGTTTTCCTCTAATAGAAAGTAGAGGATTTTTGACTCTGCAATAAGTCTGTGGGAAGATAAAAGGAGAAATAAAAATCTTTATGATGAACAATCTTAAAAAACAGAAAGCAAATAGTGCTATGTAGGAAAAAAAAGGAGACATGAATAGTGAACTTGCTCAGTTTTGTTTGGCTTAATAATAAACGTCCAAACATCAAAACAAAATAGTATTTTTAAAACCCAACTTCACTTTATATACTGAAAATAATTAATAGGCCAACAGAAATACATTTATGAATTGCATGGATTATTTAAAAGGCACAATATTCCCTGTTTGCTCTCCTTTTCAAAAACAAGGGCATTTTATATCTTCAGTCAAAAGGAAAGGGAAAGAGTGGTAGATAATATTAGAAAAGAAGAAATTATAAAACAAAAATAAACATTAAACTCAGTTATTAAAGGAAATTTATACCAACCAAAGCTCTTAAAGTAATCTAACTTCCCCTTTGTTATTATAAAAATTATATAGCCTATCTTTGGCTGACAGTCCATCAACTGAATAAAAATATGTATGTCTTTTGCAAGAGCCACTAATTTTCATAGAAGAAAATCCTGAAGAAGTGCATAACCATGAATTTGGTAGGATTATAGGGTCTTTACACTTCTGTAAAAGTCCTAGATCACACGGAATTCCTTCTTTTAACAAAGTAATTCCAAAGTATATGAATGAAATAGTCTTATTAATCCTATGTGGCCTTTTCTTAGTGCTTCTACACCTAAAATATTCAAATTTGCTTTGCTTTACAATTAAATCTTGGCTTTGCATCTTGTGGGGCATACCCTCAGCCTACTATTTTTTTAACCACAATACTACCACATGTGGAATTTTATAAAGAAAATAAGACCACAATTTACTAGTTTTAGTTGATGTGATTTCCTATCTAGTAGGAAGCTATATGGAAAGGGTGAAAGAGTCTAAATTTAAATTAAAATTATACCATTTATTATTTTCATGAACTTAAGAATTTTTTTAAAAATCTCTGACCTTCATTCCCAGATCTGTAAAGTTGTCATAAGAGTGAGTACTAGCATGTCCAACTTGCTTTATGCAATGCCTGGCATATATTAGATATAAAACAAATAGCACTATTATATTTATTGCATTTCTACAATTAAGACAAAAACTCATAATCTGGAACTACCAAGTAAGTCTAGGTAAAATTATGAAATCTTAAAACTTTCTGCTATAAACACGTTAAAAATTTTCACATCTATTATTTCAGTTCACATATATTTCATTTTAAGTATGAGGAGATGGGTTCAATGCATTGTTCAAATCACTACTGTATAGCAGATCAAGGAGACAAATTCATGTCTTATGGCACTGACCACTCCATATCATGTTACTGAGAATAGCAGGGAACTGGAGGGTTTGATGGTATTCTGTCTCAGAATCTCATTTCAGTTGATGGCAACTTTATCCTTCCATGTAGCTGAGACCAAAAACCTTGGAGCCATTCTTTTTTTTTTTTTTTAATTTTTTATTTATTTATTTATGATAGTCACAGAGAGAGAGAGAGAGAGGCAGAGACACAGGCAGAGGGAGAAGCAGGGAGCCATTCTTTATTCCCCTCTATCATACTATCATATTTATTCAATCAACATTTTTTTAAATTATTTTCAAAATCTATTTGAATTTCTTCGAATTCTCACCACCACCACCACCACTGGTCATCTATCTTTGAATTTCTCCCAAATTTCTACTCTTACCACTCAGCACTCCCACCCATGGTCCCTTTGAAATACAGCAACTAGAGTTACTCTTTAATAATGCAAGTAAGATCTTGTGACTAGGGCAGGCCCAGTGGCCCAGCAGGTTTGGCGCTACCTTCGACCCAGGGTGTGATCCTGGAAACCAGGAAATGAGTCCCACATCTGGCTCCCTGTGTGGAGCCTGCTTCTCCCTCTGCCTGTGTCTGTTTCTCTCTCTCTCTCTCTCTCTCTCTCTCTCTCTCATGAATAAATAAATAAATAAAATCTTAAAAAAAAAGTTCTTGTGATTATTCTCTCAAAATCCCCTAATGATTCAGTTTTGCTAAATAAGCACCAAGGTCTTTACAATGGTCTAGAAGGCTATATATTACCGGATCCTAGTTAATTCCTTGCTTTCCCTCTCATTTTCTTTGCTTTATTCCCATAACAACTAATCTTTCCCTGAGGGCCCAAGTGGGATCCTTCTGGAATTCTCTTTCCTCAGAAAGACATGGTCTCTGCTAAAATGTCACCTTGTCAATTAGGGCTTATCCCTGGCCACCCAGTCCAAAATTAGAACTTATCCCTTAAGCAGTTCTGATTTCCTTACTTTGATCTATTTATTTTTATTTCTATAGTATTTTTCTCCTTTTGACACACTATTTAACTTATTAAGTGTATTGGCTACAGTCTGACTCCCCCTAATATTAAAATTTAGTCCCCATGAGGGTAAGAACAAGTGCCTAGCAGGTAACCAAGTGTTGTCTAAATGAATATTGCCTTTTGTTTCCCATCTCACTTTTAGAACAAAAACCCAAAATTTCCTCCCCAAACATAGAGACACACACACACACACACACACACACACACTTTCACCTCAAATACAATTACTTCTGACAGACATTTCATCTACTCTTCCTGGACATTTCATCATTGTTTCTTAAAATATTGTTCATGTATTAGATCTTAGAATTAATTGCAAAGGATTTTTGATTGAAAGAATAAATTCCTAGCACCCCTCCAGAAATGCTAACTTGGAATTTTTAGGGGTGAGTTTTTTTAACGTGACCCATTTGCACATTGGAGTTTAAGAACATTGACTAGCCCTACATTGTTTCCCTTTCTGTTTTCCCAAATCTCGGCCATAATCTTTCTTGCAAAAATCAATAAAACCAGGCATCCCCTAAAGCCAATCATTGAAATATTTACCAAAGAAATCTTCTCCCACCTTTGTATTCCACTCTGAAAAATGAAAACTATTGATATGGGTCAGGGTCAAAGTGCTAACATCCAAAAGTTTTAGTTCATGACAGAAGTGAAAAAAATGTGGCAGCCGTATCATATGTCCATTTTGAAGTCATCTTTTTATATTTCTTTTTCCTGTTGTTGGGAGTAATTTTCTGTCATGCAACTAACAGTCATCTGTCCTCCTCTGCCTCTCCTTATTACCACTGCCACCTCAAGAAAACCCACAAGGGATCCATAGACTGGCTATGCTCTAGATCGTGAAAAGAAGTCTGTTTTTCCTCTTAGCTTTGATTCTCCTTCTCTCTTTTTTAAATATTTTATTTATTTATTCATGAGTGATACAGAGAGAGAGGCAGAGACGCAGGCAGAGGGAGAAGCAGGCTCTGTGCAGGGAGCTTGATGTGGGACTTGATCCCAGGACCTGGGATCACGCCCTGGGCCGAAGGCAGATGCTCAACCACTGAGCCATCCAGGCGCCCCTTTTTTAAAAGATATTATATTTATTTATTCATGAGAGATGCAGAAAGAGAGGCAGAGACGCAGGCAGAGGGAGAAACAGGCTCTGTGCAGGGAGCCAGCTCTGATTCTCTTTGCCTCATCTCATACTGTACTGGTAAGACAGGATGAAAAGATTAGAAGCTTGGCTTATATCAAAGGAATATATATATTTATATTTATTATTTGAATTCTCAGACCAGAAAGAAGCACATATGTGATCAGTACTAAATGTGTCAAATAAGAAAAGGGTCTTTAGCTCAGACCAATGGAAGAGTTTTAGAGGGTCCAAGAACTTTGTAAAGTTGATTCACAAAATGTAATTTTGTATTCCTTATTTTTATGGAAAATGGGGTACAATGGCTTTCCTCAAATTCTCAAAATATTCTGAAAATTAAAAAAAAAAGATTAAAAGCCATTTCCCTTAGGGTTCAAGTTTAATTATTATTAATGTCTTCATATAAGGTCCTGTCTGTATAAATAAGTATATTCTTTGTTCATATTTTCCTTGCAAAAGTATGATAGTATACTTAGTAAATATCCTTATTTCTGCTCATTGCCAACATCCATCACCACTCCAAGATAATATTCTTGCATTTTAAGTTCTCAATTTTGAGATTCAATCCTAAGAAATGAATAACCAGAGCATTCCAATGCCTTTGGACAGCCCACTTTGAGCAGTGCTTTGACTTCAAGCCCAGAATCTATCACCAAATCCTCAAACTCTATCAATCCTAGAATTAGTCTTTTAAAAATGATTTGGTAATGAGAAAACATGAGACCTTCTTTAAAAAATCAAAATTTAACTCAAGTACATAAATTCATCATTCAATTTCTAAAAATAAATTTTAAAACAGCTTTTAAAAAAGTAAACTAAAATTGAAGTAATTTTTTTTTATGATAGTCACACACAGAGAGAGAGAGAGAGAGAGAGAGAGAGAGAGGCAGAGACATAGGCAGAGGGAGAAGCAGGCTCCATGCACCGGGAGCCGGACATGGGATTTGATCCCGGGTCTCCAAGATCACGCCTTGGGCCAAAGGCAGGCGCCAAACCACTGCGCCACCCAGGGATCCCAAAACTGAAGTAAATTTAACTTGAATATTTTACCTTCTATTTGTTTCCTACTGGCATTTTAGATCTTTAAGTAATCTGGGGTTTACTTTAGGAGTAAAATAATTTCATTTGAGCAAGAATTTGCATTTAATTTCCTTTGTTCTTTTTTAAAATTTAAAATGAAATATAATTTCACATCTTATTGAAACATTTAGAATAAATTCAATAATAAGTTAGCATTTCTCTCTCTATGTTTCATTCGTCAACAAATGTTTTTCAAGCTCCTTTATTGTTCAGGATATGGCATGGGTTATGAAGAAACATTCAAAGCCTTATTCTAGATGGAAATGGGCACTGTCATTCATGGTATCCAGAAATTGTTAATGTAGGTACATTGAGACATGGGTTATGCTTCCATTACAGCAAGTTCATTGCAATGGTGAGTTACAATGAGACTTGTAACATTTTCTGCTAGGCTCATGGAGTAGAGTGGAAGAAGACTTTTCATTAGGAACAACTAAGGAATAATAACCTTAGATCCTTTGCCAAAATAGCAATCAATGTACTTCCTGCAATTTGACTTCTAGAGCCATAAGAAATTGGTAAAGATTACAGGTTGGGAATTTCTGAAGTATATCCATACTCAAGTGGAGGTCAAAGAAGCCCAACTGAAAGTACTCTGGACTGACAGTGATAACTGGGGATTGAACAAAAGTTCTTTTTAAAGGGCTATTTTGAAGATTATTATTCTGACTTTGGAGGAACTACAATGATTGGCAGTGGAAGGAATCACATGTAAAATTACTTAAATAAGATTTATTGACTTTAAGTTTAAAAAATATTCAAAAATATAAAGATGTATACAATCTTAGTCTTGCCCTCTGGGTGCTTATAATCTTAAGGGATGTTTGAAATGTTATACACCAAGAGTCACAAAGCAAAGCCTTAAGAGTGCGATAAAGACAGTAGGTTGAATATAGGCTCATTCACTGACAGCTCTTTTTGTGTTGGGATGTGCTAATGTAATGCACCACCAGAAATGTTACCTTATCAAAATCATAGTGTTCAACATCTAAATTTATCATTCAGCATTGACCAATAATTTTAAAAAAATATGAATAAATTCGATAAGATACCTTCAGAATGCATTATGTATGGCATGGTAAATGCATGTTAAAAGTTTCCAGTGAAGATTTAGTCAATTCATCCACCCATATGGTTGAAACATTTACCAACTTTATGCTTTGTTGGGAAATGAAGGAGGAAAGAGGGCCAAGTGTATGACATAGATCAAGTTCAAAAGATTCATGAGATTTATTCCAGAAAAATAAGTAGTTCCAAGAAAAGGGAAAAAAAGGAAAGTTTCAAAATGAATTTCACTCTTGATACAAAGGCAAATAATTATAGCTTATATTTCTTAACCAGTACCTGCTGTGATATAGGAATAACAGAGTCCTATGAGTATCCTCCAAAATGCTTACCATGAACTTTGGATTTGAGATAACTGAATAAAATATCTCTTCATTTATTAGCCCATAAATGTTGAATATTAGAAAATTCAGGTATATATAGTAAATATGAGTATATGTAGTAAATACTTGAGTGAATGTTGACCCTGAGGCTTCAAAAGGATTATCCTTTGTAAGCTTATTTCACCTAAGAGATAAATAGGCAACATTATTTTGCTTAATATACATTCAGGCATCTGGATTTCTTTCATGTGTTTATCTGACACAATAATATCTACTAACTTCTTGAGACTGGAAACCGTAACAAAATGTTGCATATTTCCATAAACAATGAAGCAATTATTTTGTCTTTAGTTGATGTTGAAGACTGTCAGAGAACCATCACCTGAGGTATCCTTTCTTTAGTATGATTAAATTTTACACGAATTTATGGATAAAGAATAGAATATTTGTTCCAATTCATTTTACTGAGAATTTTTTAGTCCCCAAATCTCAAGAGTATTGAGAGTACAATAAGTATGCATATTGCTAGTCAGGAACAATGGAAACTCCATTGTTACATAAGTTACTCAATGTTATTCAATTTCATAAAGGTTAATCTCTTGGTTAAGAAATTTAAATTCCATGAGAAATTGACTCATGGACATTAAATAAAAGCATATCTTCTTTTCTATGAGAAATTATTTTAATTTTCTAGGTCTCCTATTTTGAGGGAATGGAAGAAATATGTTTTGTTTATTTGGAAATTATATAAGTATTATAAAATTTTAATCAACCTTCATCACATAAAAATAAACATCATCTTAAACTCTAAATAAGTGGAAATTATTCATTTATTCTGGTACAAAAATGTCTTCATCCCAAAATATTTTTCAGAATCAGTAATTTTGTATAGCAACATTCTCTAAGACAAATCCTAATCAGCCATGCACATTTCAATCTTTAGAAATAATTAAAAACCTTGAAGTTATTGATTAAATAAGACAAATTAACAATCCTTCTAAATATATTACAAAAACTTAGTAAATTTTGCCATCTATGTGTTTTTATCTAACCTCTTAGCTATTATTTCAAAACATGAAAAGACTATAAAAATCAATAGAATAAAACCCAAATGCTCCTATAGTGATGTAGCTGGTGGTGCTTGACACAACTGGTTAATTGTAAAATGTGCTTCCAGAGCATTCACTCAATATGAATACTGGTCATCAGGCAGCTATCATATTGTCCCTTTAAATTTGCAGATTTCTGAAAACGAAAGAATAACCAGCTATTATTCTAACTTTATCTCTACTGTGTGAAATTTACTGAATGTTTTAAGTGAAATTTCAAAAGATTCATTTTTGTTGGCTCTCCAAGCTATAATAGAAATGTAATGCTCCCAGAGTCAGTTTTTCTGGCTGCCCTACTATCCTCATTTCCTGTCACTTTGCCACCCTCTTTGCCTTGCTCATTCTGATTTCTTCTACAGCCTTGATCAATTCCTCATGTGTCTCTTACCCATTACACACAGAACTCTTGATGTTTAAGCAACTGGGGAGTAAAACCTTCTATTTCATGAACTAATGACACAAAACCTGAGAACAGTGTTTTTCAGTGTTCCTCAGAACCCCACTGCCCCATAAAATGTTAGCTGGGTTTTATTAGGAGTTCATAACTTTCCAGGAAGTTAATAAGTGATCTATGTACATTTAATCCTCCTAAGAAACCCATGAGATAGGAAATGTCATTGAAGCAACTGAAGGTGAGGAACTGACCTAAGAACTCTGCCCAAGGTCATTAGTCAATCAGAGGTGAAATCTGAACTGAAGCATGACATCAGAGTCCATGCATGGAACTATCTGTACCATATTGCCCTCTCAATAGAAGGAAAACTTCTATCATGTGTTCTAACAAACTAGTTAATACTGCGTTCAATAGACTTGGCAGGAGATAACTGTGTTCACTGCTACTTATTATGCATTTTAGCACTTTCTAGGCTCTGTGAAGCCCTGTGGTTTATTTTGGGTGGTGGACTGTATAATGTCTACCTTTTGCAGGAGCATTCATTTCCTCTGCTCTCTTCAGGTCAGGCTGGGCCATGAACTTGATTTGACTAATGAAATGTGAGAAGTGACATGTGTCACTTCTAGACACAGGAATTAAGAGCCAGTGGGTGCTGCTCAGGCTCTTTTCCACCTCAATCACAACAACATAAAGTATTCCATGGTTCCAGTGGCTTCTCTGTCCAGCTGTTCTCACAGTAAAAATGTGACAGGGACCCCAGAGGCTGCTGCTGACCCACAAGGGACACTCATGAGTGAGAAACAAACCTTAGTTATTTTAAGCTATTCAGATTTACTGGTTGTTATGTGATTTATCCTGGTGTTTTTGGTTTTGGTATTTTTTGTTTTCTTGATTTTTTTTTACCAAATTTGTTTTCCTTTGGAAACTGTTTTTCACAGAACACGTCTTAATATCTGATGAAGTACTGGTATGACACAGAAAATGGCTGGAGAAACTCTTCTTTTATGCAATATTATTAAAAGATGAAAAGGAAATGCTTTGGAGACACTGTGAAAATCTTGTTCTTGTCATAGCATGACTGAAGCCTGAAGAAAAGAATACTCAAAACTGACAGTTCTTTTAACTATATTTTCTCCAGCAGTAATTTCACAAAGATACCTATTGTCAATATACCTGTCCCCCAAGGGGGCTACTCCTTCAAATACATTAATTAATTCATTAAAATAACCATTTTCTGAATGCTCACTAGATGCTACCAGTATCAGGTATTCACTCCCAATTCACCACGTGTTTATGTCCTACATTGCCTGGTGATAATGTAGAAAACTCTAGCTTCCCAATCTCTCTCATAAAAGCTCTAAGTATTTAATTAATTTCATTGTAATGGCTCCTTTGAGATGTTGACTTGGTTAGGATATAGTTCTCAGTGACTCAATGGAATCCTTGTCTGGGGTGGTGAGGTGGGTTTTGCAGATGTAATTGGAGTCCCTAATCAGTTGGCCCTAAGCAAGGGGAAGATTATCCTGAAGAACTGGATAGGCTTGACTTAATCAGTCAGAAAGCTTTAAGGGCAAAGCTGAGGCTTCCCTAAGAGAGAAGAAATCGGGCTTTGGCTTTTGTCCATGGCTCAACTGCCATACATTGTTCTACAACTTATTTTGCTCAGCATAATGTTTTAAAAATCTATCTAGTTTAATTTTCTCCCTTTGATAATCTCCCATTATATGAGCATACCAAAAATCAATTCTCCTGCTTATGGACATTTTTTTTCAATTTTATTGTCTTTATACAAAAAGCCACCACAAGCATTCTAATATATGTCTCTACATGACCATGTATAAGAAGAGCTGGTGTAAAGTTTATGTCTAGAGGTGGAAAGTTTCTTCAGCATTACCAAATATTGCCAACTCACTCACAAGGTTGTTTAACAAGTCTAAAATACCACCAGCAGTGTATAAGTGCTACCCTTATCATATATACATTAGACATTGCATTGCATTTCCTCCTCTTTACATTGCCTGCTTATTTCCTTTTCTCCTGAGTTTTATGCTTTTCCAACTGATTTTTTAAGTTCTTAATATAATGTACATAATTTATTGTCAGTTATGGTTATTGCATATATTTGTTTCTGTTGCTGAGATTTTTTTTTCTACTCTTTAAAAAGCAACATTTTTATGCAGAAGTTTCTAATTTTAATGTACTCAAAATGATCACTGGTTTCTTTCATAGTTTGCTTCCTCATGCCTACTCAGCCTTGTCTTTTGGTCTCCTACCAATTCTGTGATCCTTGGGTATTCTTTCAATAAATGTCCTTTGGTTAAAATTGGCCAGAGACATTCTGTGTTGCTTTCAAACTAACTAATACAATCCTAAAACCACATTGTGACTTTATTTGAATAACAATTAAACTTAAGGCAGAAAAATCTTTGCACAATAACATAAAAGACCTGCTTATGTCCTGAACAAATTTCTTATCACTTTAAAAAATTTGA